CCTTTGACTACAAGTTGTCCATCTACATCAGTGAAAAGTTCATCATACCAATAAAATTACAACTTTTGACACCCCTCAAAAGAAGTATGCATATATTATTCTAGTGGTTAGAAATCTAACCTTGGACTTCCATTATGTCCAACATTTTAAAATAATAAATTATTAGATGAAAGCACTGATATCATGCTTATCAGATTGAGAGAACATACCAAGATAGGAGGAAGAGCTCACATGATGGATAGTTAGGTCATGATCCAAAAAACTTGTAATGGCTAGAATGATGGGTCAAATCTCACAGATAAATTCAATAAGGCTAAATGTAAAATCTGATACTTGAGTTACAAAAGAGAAGCTTCACTTGCACAGGATGGGAGAGATGTAGCTAGACATCTTAGATCAACATATTGTGAGAAAAAAGACCTGGTTTTAGTGGACCATAAACTCAATATGAGTCAACAGTGTGATGTAGTAGTCAAAAGGCCTAATTTAATTTTGGGCAGCAATTAATATAAATATTGTTTCTAGAATGAGGGAGGTTGTACATAATCCCTATATTCAGTCACAATCAAAACACATGTAAGGGCAGCTAGGTGGTGCAGTGGATAGAGCACTGGCTCTGCAGTCAGGAGGACCTGAGTTCAAATCCAGCCTCAGATACTGACACTAGCTGTGTGACCCTGGACAAGTCACCTAACCCTGATTGCCTCACCAAAAACAAATAAACAAAAAAAGTGGAGTATTAGATTCAGTTCTGGATGTGGCATTTTAAGCACACTGCCAAACTGAAGTATGTTCAAGGAAGGGTGAGCAGAGTGAGGAAGGGACCTGGAACTGTGGCATATAAGGAGAGGCTGGAGGAACAGAAAATGCTTAGCTTAGGAAGGGGGAAGATAGGGTATGGAAGAGGGAAGACATGGTGACATCTTGAAGGGTTGTTGTTTAACAGAGACTTATTTTGCTTGGCCCCTGAGAGCAGAACAGGAAGCAATGAATGGAAGTTTCCAAGAAGTGTATTTCAGTTCTCTGTATGGAAAAACTTAGAAATTGATGATGTCCAAAAGTGGATTGGGGGCATATATGAAAGCAGTCAATTCTAAGTCTTTAGAAACTGTCAGGAAGAAAACAAACACTACTTGTTAGGAATGTTAGGAAGGGGATTCCTACTCAGGTTTGACTTAGCCAAGATACCCTCTGACCTCTGTTCCACTTCTGACATTACAAGAGTGTAGCATGACTTACATGGAAATGTGTTTTGCATGACTACACATGTATAACCTATGTCAAATTGCTTGCCTTCTCAATGGGGGGAAGTGGGCAAGAAGGAAGAGAATGTGGAACTCAAAATTTGAAGAAAAAAAATGTTGGGGGCAGCTAGGTGGTGCAGTGGATAAAGCACCAGCCCCGGATAAGGAGGACCTGAGTTCAAATCTGACCTTAGACACTTGACATTTACTAGCTGTGTGACCCTGGGCAAGTCACTTATCCCATTGCCTAGCTGAAAAAAATGTTAAAATTGTTTTTACATGTAACTGGGGAAAAATAAAATATTAAATTTAACAAACAAACAAAAACAACAAGAGAGTATCAGCTTATGAGTCTTCCCAAGTTTCTCTTAATTGTTTAGATATTATTTCCTAGGGTGCAATAATAGCAGAGCATTCATATCCCACACTATCTACTCCTGATACACACACACACACACACACACACACACACACATACACACATACACACACGCATGTGTACATAGATCCTGCATTCTGAGTCTTTTATTCATCTTTCCATCATGAAGTGGATAGCATGCTTCATTAGTCCTCTAGAATCATAACTGGGTTTATTTTTCCTCCTTTATCAGTTGGAGACTAGAGAAGGTTTTTTGCTGATTGGGGGAAAATATATGTTTATATATTAGAGATATGCATATGTATAATTAAATAAGAAGAATATAGGAACTTCTGCTCTCCAGCTCATTGTTCCTTTTTCCATAGAATTAGAGGATGGAAGAGAATCTTCCATCTCTTCTAAGATTCTGAGAACTACCCTTCAGTTCTGCCCACTACTTCCATTCTAATTGGGTCGTGTGTTAATAACCAAGTTCTTGAATTTGCTAGGTCTAGTCTTACTCAGCTGTTCCCTCCTAAGGACTGGGAGCAGTGTCATGTCTCCTGTATTTTAAGCTCTGTCGGGTACTAGCTCAAGGGGAGAAGTCTCTTTTCCAAAAGATAAGGCTGTTCTGAATCAAGGGAGTCCTACTCCTTTATCAACAGAAAGCTATCCCCTCAATCACATCCAAAATATTTATAGACATACTCTTTGTGATTGTAAAGAATAAAATAAAATAAAATAAACAAACCAGTGGTTTGATTATTGGGAAATGTCTTTGCGAAGTGTGGTATATGAATGTTCTCGTATGTTGTACCATTTGAAATGCCATTTCTAAGGAATTAGGAGAAACTTGGGAGGAAGTTTAAATACAGGAGTCAGAAACGTAAAAATATAAACATGAATGAAGAACCATGAGGTACTAAACAAATACAGTCTGCTTACTTTTGTGTCCCCTCTGATCCCTATTATCACCATGGATCTTAGAGGGAGTCTAATTAGACAGAAGCCTGGGGTTGGTTCTGTATATTTTATAATCTTAAAAAAAAAAAGAATGGGGGCAGCTAGGTGGCTCTATGAGATGTCTTACATTTTCTTCCATTTTTCTGTCTTTTGACGTTGTTTAATATTTGTTATTATCTCACGAAGTCATTAGCTTCTATTTGATCCATTCTAATTTTCAGAGAGTTTGCTCCTTGGGTAAGGTTTTGTACTTCTTGTGCCAAACTGTTAATGTCCTTTCCAATTCTTTATTCCATAGTCCTCATTTTTTTCCGATTTTTTTCCTTCTATCACTCTCATTTATAAAAATATTTTAACTCTTGCTTCATCTCTTCCAGGAATTCTAGTTGATTTTGTGTCCACAAAATGTTTTTCTTTGAGGCTTTGCTTGTAGATATTTTGGAATCATTTTCTTCTTCTGAGTTTAGTATCTTGAGTGTCCCTGTCACCATGATAGATTTTTACGGTGAAATTCTTTTTTGTTGTTTTACTCATTCTTCAGTCTTCTCCCTGACTTTGAAATTGATATTAGGTGACGTAAGAAACAGAAAAATTTTAAAAAAAATTTAATTGGGAACTATTTAAGAAAATGAATAAAAATACAATAAAACATAGATAATGTGAATTTGTGGTTTTCCAAGTCAATATGTGGCCAGCAGAGATAGGTTTCTGTTTGAGTTTCAGACCATGGCTGTAGAAGAGAACTAGATAGACATATTCAGCTTGGTCCCAAGGAGCAGAACAAGAAAATTGGGTGGAAATTACATAGACATATTTAGTCTTGATTGTAAGGGAAAGCTCCCTTCCTGAGCTATCTAAAAGTCGAGTGGGCTGTCTCAGGATGTAAAAGGCTCCCCTCACTGGGGGTCTTGTAGCATGGCCTAGATGTTCACTTATTGGGGAAGCAGTGGTGAATCATTATTTAGGTACAAATTGGACTACAAAGTTTCCAAGGTACCTCTTAGATATTGTGAGTCAGTGAGTGTGGTAGTTACAAAGAGGAAGATTTCAGCTCAGGAAGAACTTTCCAACAAAGGGCAAATATGGGATGGGCTGCCTTGTGAGGCAATGACATAGCCATCCTTGGGATAGTTCAATCACGGCTAGGATGACCAATTGTCCAAGATGTTGTAGAAACTAGGTGACACAGCAAATAGACCATAGGTTTGGGAGTCAGAAAAAACGTGAGTTCAAATCTTGCCTCAGACATTTTCTAGTTGTGTGACATTGGGCAAGTGACTTCATCTCTCTGTGCCTCAGTTTCTTTTTCTGTAAGATCGGGATAGTAATAGCATCTACTTCACAAGGCTATTGTGAGGCTCAGATTATTTAACATGTGTAAGGTGTTTTGCAAACTTTTAGGTGCTATATAAATGCTGGCTATTTTTTATTATTATTATTATTATCATCATTAGTAGTAGTAGTATAGATTCAAGCATTGGAATAGGTGTTGTACTGTATGATATCTGAGGTCCCATCCAACTCTAACATTCTAGGATTTTGTGATTCCACAATCCAATAATTTTATGGTCTTATGGTCCTCTTATTCTATCACAGTGTACTGTAAGTCTGAGGTTCCATGGTCTTATAAGTCAATGAAAGTTTATAATAACAATGAAAGAAGAAAGAAAGAAAAGAAGGGAGAGAGGAGGAAGAGAAGAAGAAGAGGAAGAAGGAGGAGAAGGAGAAGGAGTAGGAGGAGGAGGAGTAGGAGGAGGAGGAGGAGGAGAAGAAGAAGAAGAAGAAGAAGAAGAAGAAGAAGAAGAAGAAGAAGAAGAAGAAGAAGAAGAAGCAGCTTTCATTTATGGAGCACTTTGCCAAGAACCTTGCATATGTTACCCCATTTGATCCTCACAATAACCCTGGGAGAGAGGAAAAGAGGAAATAAGTATTTACTGAGCATATACTATGTGTCAGGCATTGGGCTAAGCACATTGCAAAATATTATTATCTCATTTGATCTTCATAACAACCCTAGGAGGTAGATACTACTATGATCCCCATTTTACAGTTAAGGAAATTGAGACAGGCAGAGGTTAACTGCCTTTCCTAGCATTACATAGCTAGAAAGAATCTGAGGCTGGATTTGAACTCAGGTCTTTTGGACTCCAGGGCCTCCACTCTATCCATTGCACCACCTACTGCTTCTAAAAGAGGCAGGGAGTGTCCAAAGAAACTTTGGCTGCAGGCTGTGGTATGAGGAACAGAACATAGATTTCTTGATGAAATTTTTCCAGATAACATATCTAAAAATAACGGCTTGTGGTAGTAACTCCTGTGCCCTGCCCAGCCCCATGTTCCCTGGGTGATCTGATTTCCGCCTAGTTTCCTGGGGCCCTGCCCTTTGATCTCCCCACTATCCCAAGCTCACCGCACTGCTGCCAGCAATAGACTTTTTTTTTTGCTAGATAAGGAAAATTAAGACTTGTGGACAATAACATGATCTGAGCATTTCTGCTCTACAAATCCTCCAGAGTTGGTGTCCACTGTGTGAGTGTGATGAGTAAGCTCCTGAAGAAATGAAATAAAAGGCGGCACCCAGATATTTCTTATTCTGAAAACTTGACCAATCCCCTACAGCCCAACTTCTGTTGCTCAGGAAGCTGGGTGTTTCCTTCTCAGACAGCCTAGGAAGAAGACTTATTTGGCACCACTAAAGAGCCCTGTGAACCAGTAAGTGACTTCTTTTTCTTTTTTGTGATTTACTAGTCAGGGCTATGTTAAGGGTGTGGAGTGGACAGTAGAAAGATAACTGGACTTGGATTCAGGAGATTTGGGTGTGATACAGCTCTACTAGACTGAGAAAGTCACTTTATCTCTATGACTATCCTCATCTGAGAAATGAAGGGTTGAAATATATGAGTTCTAAGGGTCCTTCTTGCTCTAAACCCTATAAGAACTAGGGGTCCCTAGGAAAGTAGGCTTCCAAATAAGACTAGGAAATCCTCATCCCTGGAAATTCATAAAACTAAGGATAGGCTGCATTTTCAACTGCCCAGAGGAAGGTGGATGGACTAGATGACCTTTAAAGGTACCTCCCATTTCATAATAAATAGAGAATCGTAGAGCTAGAGTTCAAAGGGACCTCAGAAGCCGCTGCACCCAACTGCTTTATTTTACATATGAGGCGAAAAGAGATTTAATACATGACTGGCCCAAGGTAGCACATGATGAATGTTAGTGGCAGGATTTGAACCCAGATCCTCTCATTCCAGACCCAATGATCTTTCCACTATACCATGCTACCTCCCTAGAAAAGGCAGGGGCATTATTTTTAGGGCAGCTAGGGGGTGCCGTGTATAGAGTGTCAGGCCTAGAGTCAAGAAGACTCATCTTCATGAGTTCAAATCCAGCCTCAGACACGTAGTAGTATGTGAACCTGGGCAAGTCACTTAACCTGGTTTGCCTCAGTTTCCTCATTAGTAAAATGGCCAACCACTCCAGTATCTTTGCCAAGTAAACCCCAAACGGAGTAAGAAAGAGTCAGGAACAACTAAAATGGTTGAACAACAACAAAAATCATCTTCAGGACCAAAATCCAGGGTTGACTTGATCAGGTTGCCAAGGCTTGACTCAGGTAGAAAGGGTATGGAATGGCACTAGAAAGAGAGCAGGTCTGAGAAAATTGTGAAGATGCTTCAACACAGTGTCTCCCAAGGAAGCTCTTGCTTCTTAGTGATGGTTAGATGTGCTATCACTTGGCACAGTAGGGAGAGAGAGAGTGCCAACATCAAAGCCAGGAAGATCTGGAATTATGTGCCAGCTTGGACACATGCTGGCTGTGTGACCCTGGGCAAGTCATTAGAATTCTCAGTGACCAACAACTTCTTGACGTTACATTTTAGAGAAAGCGCCACCCTGAACTGGCAGGGAGTTTCCTCACTCAGACGTTCCCTAAACCAGTGAAATCACTCGCTACTTCTATCACTTACTTATGGAGCGGGTGAAAATTGGGTTAGATGCTGCCTTAATCTGAAGGCTGGCTGTTGCTCCTCCCCCATACCTATCCCTCATCCTAAGGGCTGTTCCTCAAGCTTTTAGGTTCTTGCGCTGAGTCCAGTCAGCTTGGGATCATATGTTAAGAGCTAGAAGATTATCTGCTTCAGCCTCCTCATTTTACGAATGAGGAAACTGAGGCCCATAGAGGTGCTTACTTGTCCAAGATCCCCCAAGTAAAAGCTAGGGGGTGCAGTGAATAGAGCACAGTACTTGGAAGAGGGAAGACCTGAGTTGGACACCCTAGCTGAGCAAGTCGCTTAGGTTATTAGAGACAAGATTTGAACCCAGTCCTGATGACTCCAAAGTCAGTGTTCTTTCAACTATACCATATTGCCCTTGCCAAGAGACTTGTAACAAACCAGAGCCCCTACTTTAGAGCCATGCAAACTTCTAGGCTAGGGAAGTCCCAAAGGGAGGAGTAAGGAATGGCCAAAGTCCCCCAGTCTGGTAACCACATCTCAAAGGGAATTACCCAGTCTTTGAATCTTAGAGCAGGAGAGCACCATGTATGCCACTCACTCAGTCCAACCCTTGCCTGAGGCATGAATGCCCTCTATGACATCCCTCTGTCAGTAGCCTGACAGCCTCAGCTGAATACCTCTAGGAATGAGGGACTCACTATCTAGCAAGATTGCCCATTCCATTTTCAGGTGGCTTTCATTCTTAAGATCAATCATAGCCTCATAGATTCAGAGTTGAGAGGGAGCTTAGAGATCTTGTCTAGTCTCTTCATTTTACAGATGAAGAAATTGAGGCCCAGAGGGGAAAAGTGATTTCCCAAGGGGTATTCCTCATATTGAGTGGAAATCTGCTTCCTTATAGCATCATTAGGACTTAATGTGCATAAGCCTTAAGAATGTGGCAATGTCTTTCTCACGAATTATGGAGGAGAATAGAATTGCTAGCCCTGCACATCTGCTTTTTCTTTCCCAGTGGATCCCAAAGCCCTTTAGGTCATTTGCTTTCTGAGATGAAGGGTTTCAGAGTGGCCACACAGTGGTCAGTACAACATGCGCAAGGTGAAAAGCAAGAGTGATGGAGTGGGATAAAGAAAGTGGATCTTGGCATCAGAAAGTCATGGGTTCAAATCCAGTTTCTGATGGATAGTGGCTGAGTGACTTTGGGCAGGTCACAACCTTTCCGTCCTCCACACATATCTCTAAGACTGGAAACTGCAGAGTAGTTATAGATCTGTATCCTTGGAGGGAGAGTTTGCACACTGAGAGTTCCTAACTTGAAATCATGGCTCTGGGGAAAAAGGTACCAAACACCTTGTTAGGTACTGAGGCTACAAAGACAAAAGGAAGAATAGTCTCTGTCCTCAAAGAGATTATATTCTCCAGAGAAATATAATCAGGGTGTGCTGGAGCTCCTTCATACTGCCTTATGAGAGCTGAGTGTTAAATTTTTAGTGTGAGCATTTATACCTTGGAAATTGTCAAATGCTCCAAATCAAGGCTTGGTTTGTTTTGTTGATTGTCTAGATTTACATTTCCAGCACACCAGGGGATACTACACACACACACACACACACACACACACACATATACTCACAGAGAGAGAGAGAGAGAGAGAGAGAGAGAGAGAGAGAGAGAGAGAGAGAGAGAGAAGTACATGTATGATCATTTTAGTAGAGGCAGGACTCTATCAAGGGAAGTCAGGAAAGGCTGTGGTGCAACATGACCCATAAGCTGAGCTTGAAGGAGGTTAGACATCTCATAGGGAGAGAAGGAATGAGTGCATTCCAGGCATGGAAGACTGATGAGAGATAGAATGCCCAGTTCAGGGAACAGGGAATAGGTCAGTTGGACTGGAGCATAGAGTGCATGAAATGGACAAATGTGAAATAAACCTGAAAGGGCAGGGTCCCTCCATATGGTGACAGACTTTAAATGCCAAGCAGAAGAACTTATATTTTATTCTAGATCTAATAGGGAGTCACTGAAAGTTCTTGATCATCAGCCTTGTCCTTAAAGAAGATTATTCTAGCAGCAATGTGAAGGGTGGATCAGACAGGTGAGAGATTGCAAGCCAGGAGTCCAAACAGGAGGAGGCTGTTAAAATAATAAGAACCAGGATTTACATCACACTTTAGGATTTATGAAACACTTTGCAAACATTATCTCATTTGATCCTCACCAAAACCTTAAATGGTATTATTATCTCCATTTTACAGTTGAGGAAACTGAGGCAGACAGAGGTTAAGTAACTTATCAAGAGTCTTACAGTAAGTGTCTCCAGCTGGATTTAAACTCAAGGTCTTCCTAACTCTCAGTCAAGTACTCTGTCTACTGCAATTATCCAGGGAAGAGACAATGAGATCTCAAATTTCTACTCATGAATATGGTGGTTGATTGGGGATTGAGCATCCCCTCTGAAAATTAGTATGTGAAAAGTCTCTTTTCATAAGCTTTGACTTTGCTCCATAGGGCACAGAGTGCTGGGCTATGGGACAGCAGCTCTGGCCACAGTCTGCAGTTTGTTTTTAGTTACTACCTGACGTTTTTGTTCACCAGCCCATCTGGCACCTCTGTAGAAAATGGGTCTTCTCCTCCTCTAGGTGGCTACCTGGTAATAGAGCTACTGAGTTCTATTACCTTCCACACAGAGGGCAGGAAGCACCAATATGGTCTTCGTTAATGGTCTGCTAGTAAAGAGACCAATATCTCTGACCAATCAGATGGATTCAAAGAGTTAATGACTCATGGGACCTTAATCTGAATGGAGATGGGGGGAAGGGAGAGGAGAGAGAGAGAGAGAGAGAGAGAGAGAGAGAGAGAGAGAGAGAGAGAGAGAGAGCGAGCCCAGGAACTTGAGTTAGTTCAACCCTTTCATTTTGTAGATGAGGAAATAGAGGTGCCTTTCTAGATAAGTGACCTTGGACCTATAATTCCTTAACCTCTTCAAATTTGTTTCCCCATTTGTAGTTCAAGGGAAGAGAGAACTGAGGAATAAGTTAGGTAAGGGCAAGTTTTGATGGTGGAGAGACATCCTAAGCCTTAATTTTCTCTTCTCTTAATCATCCCCATGGCCTTCCCCTGAATGCTTTCCCAGTGATTTATGTGCCTCTAAAGTATTTAATAAGCAAACTGATGACGTGGCTTTGTAAGAGTCTCATACTCAACCCTGGTCATGCATCATATGAACACCCTGGCTCTGAGATCCATAATATACTTGTATTGTGAAACTCATCATTGCTGGTGCTTCCTCCCCAGATGTAGAGTACCATCCCCCTCCCCATGCTTCTGAAGGGGATCTTCTGAATTTCCATGGCCCAGAAATGCCATCGCCACTCTAGATGAGGAGCCAACCCTCTCAGTCCCGAGCCTGTATGAAGTGAGCCAGGTTGGTTCTCAGCAGACACCCAGTCTATTTCCCGTCCTCTGATCTAAGCCGATCCAATGAGCATTTAGTAAGTACTTCCTATGTATCAGGCACTGTGCTCTGTATCCCTGGAGATACAAAGACAAAAACGAAACAATCTGCACCTCAAAATGCTTCCATTCTACTAGAGGGAGGTGCCTGGAATCCTTTCAGTTTGGTATGACCAGGCAGGGCTTGTGAGCCCTTGGCAAAGCCTTCAAGAACCCAGGGTCACCACCAGATCCCAATGATACATCAGAAGAGAACTGTAGTAGAAACTGATCAATTGATAATTAAGTGGCAAGCAATTTATCAAGGGCCAGGGACCATGTTAAACAGGAAAAAAAAAACTGGGCCCTGTACCCAAGGAGCTTATGTTCTATCCAGAACTGCAAAATTATGTACTGCACCCATTAGACAACAAGGCTTGATGTCCAATCAGTCAAGAAGTATTAATTATGCACCTATGTGCCAGACACTGTGCTAGGTATGATGGATACACACACAAAGGAAACAAATTCTACCTGTAAAGAGTTTACATTCTAATGCTATCAGACCACTTGGTGGGTATGTGGTAGAGGAGGTTCCTGTTTGGATATGGGTTAGGCTAAATGGTCACTCAGGTCCCTTCTCACTCTAAGATTCAATGATCTATGATTCTAGGAGTTTCTATGACTCTTTTAGCAAAGTAAGTGAACAAATCAACCTTTTTCTTTCCTTACAGGGCAACCCAGGATGAGTACTTCTACAGCACTACTAGATCCTACTACAACTGAATATTACTACTATGATGGTGATGCCGCTCCATGCCACAAAGACAACGTCAAAGAATTGACTTCCATGTTCTTGCCTCCTCTGTACGTGGTGGTGTTCATCATAGGCCTGCTGGGCAATGCCATGGTGGTGCTGATCCTCATGAAGTACAAGAGACTCAAGACCATGACTAACATCTACCTTTTCAACTTGGCCATCTCAGATTTGCTCTTCCTCATTACACTTCCATTCTGGATTCACTATGAGTTGCAAAGGGACTGGGTCTTTGGGGATGCCATGTGTAAACTCCTTTCAGGGTTGTATTATTTGGGCTTATACAGTGAAATCCTCTTCATCATCCTGTTGACCATCGATAGGTACCTGGCCATCGTCCATGCGGTATTTGCCATAAAGGTCAGGAAGGTGGTCCTCAGCATCGTGACCAGCATCATGACCTGGGGTGTGGCCTTCTTGGCCTCTCTCCCTGACATAATCTTCACTAGATCTCAGAAGGAGTTTTTTAATTACTCCTGCAGCCCACATTTCCCACATGAGACCGCAAGGACGTGGCGACAGTTCCAGGCTTTGAAATTGAACATCCTGGCACTCATTTTGCCCCTGCTGGTCATGATCTTCTGCTACACAGGGATTATAAAAATACTGCTTAGACGGAGGAGTGAGAAGAAATGGAAAGCGGTCAAGCTGATTTTTGTCATCATGGTTATCTTCTTTCTCTTCTGGACGCCCTATAACCTCACAGTTCTGGTTTCTGCTTTCCAAGATGTCTTTTTTACAACCGAATGTGAGAGGAGCAAACAGTTGGATTTGGCGATGCAAGTGACCGAAGTCATCGCCTTCACACACTGTTGTGTCAACCCTGTGATCTATGCCTTTGTCGGGGAGCGGTTTCAGAAATACCTCTCTCATTTTGTCCACAACCACGTTGCAGTGCACCTGTGCAAACATGTCCCATCCTTCTTGAGGGACAGATTGGAGAGAGCCAGTTCTTTCTCTCCATCTACCGGGGAACAAGAACTCTCAGTTGAGTTTTAGGTTGGCCCGAGAATAGCTTACCTAGGAGGATGGCTCATGGGCATTCAAGTTTACCCAGCTGGAATGGGAAAAACAAACCAATGCACTGATTTCCAGATTGGATTTCTCAGATGAGTCAGTACTCAACTGGGAGGTGAGATGGCTGAGAGGTCAGGCCCCGGGCTCTCCTAAAACTCCAGGCCTCAGGCTATAAGAACACAGCTATTTGCAAAATTGCTCTGTAGTCACAAAGAGCTTTGTAGACCAAACAGAACTTAATGTAATTTATTTTCTTTTGAGGTTTACTTGTAATTATAAATAAAAGTTTCTGTACGCTCAGACTCGAAAATCATGCTTTTCTAATGTGCAGGAACAAAATAGCAGCATGTATATAACACATATATAATACGTCTTAGTATACATATACGTACATACATATATACACATATATGCATCGATCTCTATATGTTTCTATCTTTATCTGTTGTTTAGGTTTTTCAGTTGTGTCCAACTCTTCATGACCCCATTTGGGATTTTCTTGGCAAAAGTACTGGAGTGGTTTGCCGCATTTCCTTCTCCAGCTCATTTGACAGATGAGGAAACTGAGGCAAACAAGGTGAAGTGAATTAGGTCACACACCTAGGAAGTGTCTGAAGCTGGATGTGAGTTTTGGTCTTCCTGATTCCAGGCTGGCATTCCATCTACTGTGCCACCTAGCTTCTCTATCTGTATCTCTCTATCTAAAGAGAGAGAGAGGAGAAGGGAGGAAGGAAGGGATGGAGGGAGGAAGGGAAGGGAGGGGGGGGAAGGAAGAGGGAGAGAGAGAGATAGAGAATGTAGCACATAAGACATGAGTCAAAGAGGCCTGGGTTCACATCCTGCCTCCAACACTAACTAGGTATGTAACTGAGTTATCTAAAATGTCTGAGCCTCAGTTTTCTCATCTGTAAAATGGGGATAACTCCTGTAGTACCTACTGTATAGAAAGGACTTTGCAAAATTTGATGTGCAATGGAAATGTCAGCTATTGTTATGACTGTACAAGATCTTAACAGACCTGTATTCTCTGAAAACCTAAATACATCACAGAAATTTTGTTTGTGGTTTTTTTTAAGCTGTCTCTGTAACAGCGACTAGAGTTACTAGCCCCCAACCTCCCAAAAGCACATCTTCCTGGGATCCTGGGTCAGCATAAAGTCACATAGAGACAGCACTGGCTATATGACAGTGGGCAATGCACTCCTCTCCTGTGGGCTTGAGCATTTGTCCAAGTGACCTGGAATTAGTGGGGGAGGGGAAAGAGGGGACAGACCTTCATCGACTTCTCTAGCTAACATCTCCACTTTGTGATAATACTGCCCTTTCAAGACAAACAGCCCATGAAGTCTTGGGGCTTTTTGGTCAGAGCTAACTGGTAAAGGAATGATGACTGACCAAAGCCAATGGAGAAGATGAGCATCCCCAAAAGGACTGACCCAAGCCTGTTTTACTAGAAGGTGCAGGCCAGGAGTTGCTTGGACAGTACATAATAGAGGCAAAATGTAAAATGTCCAATCAGCAACCAACCCCACAAACAGCAGTAGGTGCTGATGGGGTTTAAGTATCAGTTTCCTGAGAGATTAGTGCAATATAGTCATAAGTTGTTCCTGAATTCCTTTTGGGTCATTCCGTTACTGTGAGTGCTTAGGAAATAAATGCCTGTCTCATAGCTTGTTACTATTGCCAATTTTTACTTCCCTTTTTCTCTACTTTGGGGAGACTTAGACTTGAACCAAATCCTAGTTTTCAAGAAATTAATTTCCAGGGCATTAAGGACGGGGCTTAATAAGCCAAGGATTGAGAAGAGAAAAGACAGTCTAGCCTGACTCTCAATGGAGGCTGGACCCTCCCAAGAGTGAATCCAGTCCAGACCAGAGCAGAAGTCTTAGTCGAAAGGGACTGAGTACAGCATCCTAGCCCCCTGAACCAGGAGCAGTTCCCTAGAGGCAATGGGAATTTATGTCCAAACAGACTAGAATTGCAGCTAAGCTCTGAAAGCCTTCTCTGCCTACAGAGGGGTCTGTCTTATAATAATAATAATTAAGAGCTAACATTTATTTTTTAAGAGCTAGCATTTATATAGGTAGATATAAAATATAACATATAGAATATAGAATACAAATAATATGTGATATAATGTGTAATATAAAATACTGTCAATGACTTGCCCCAGGGTCGTAGTTAGTAAGTACCTGGGGCTGGATTTGAAATCAGGTCTTCCTGACTCCATGTCCAGTGCTCTATACCCATTGCACCACCAAGTTATCCCTAATCCTGATGAACATTAGAAAGAAACTCTAGACAGATTCTATTAATCCCACCAACTTTCTTTTTCTTTTTCTTTTAGGCAATTGGGATTAAGTGACTTGCCCAGGGTCACACAGCTAGTAAATGTCAAGTGTTTGGTCTGAGGCCAGATTTGAACTCAGGTCCTCTTGACATCAAGGTCGGTGCTCTATCCACTGCACCACCTAGCTGTCCCCCACCAACTTTATTAGTAAAGTCATTTTAGGTCATTCTCTGAGAAAGTTCAGAAGAATTTTCTAGTGTATTTTCAAGAAATTGCCAGTTGCTATTTGGCATCATAATATTGAAAGAGCATTGGCCTTGAAATTAGATCTTTCTTATGACAAACTGCCTGTGGGGATAAGGAAAAGAAAAATATTTCTTAAGTCATTGTTGGGTGCTGGAGAGAGAAATAGACAAACTAGAGAGTGCCTGCCCTCAAGGGGCTCACATTCTAATCAGGGGAGATGATACATATAAAAAGATGTAGCTGCAGGGAAGATGGAAAGGTCCTGTGGTCTTCTGGTTGCTGTAGCAGAATAGATGACAAAGTTCATGAGTCAGGGCACAATGCCAAGTCAGATGGTAATGCCCTGGGGAGCCATAGCGGCAGGGCAAGGTTTAGCGGTCTACCATCTTACCATCTAGTTGTTAACTCTTTGCTCATCCAAGTACTATCAGAGGTCATGTCTCTCACCAACAACTGTTGGAAATGTGGTAATGGTCCCCAGAGTCTGAATATAAGGGGGGAGAAAGAGAAAGGGACCATGCATTTATCAAATGCTTACTATATGCTAAGACAATGTGCTAAGCACTTTACTCCCTTGATCCACACAACCATGCTGGGAGCAAGGTGCTATTGCTATCCCCATTTAATGGTTGAGGAAACTGAGGCAGACAGAGGTTTTAAGTAACTTGCCCAGGATCACATAGCTAGTAAGTGCCTTAGACCAGATTTCAACTCAGGTCTTTCTGACTCTAATTGTAGGAACTGTGACCCCCAGTACTCTATCTATTGCACTGTTTAAATGTGTCAAGGCTCTGAGTTACTCCAACATCCAGTCAGTGCCTAGTGTGAACTGGGCAATGGGGGGTGGGTAGGGCAGGGTAGATATGAGAATGGTGCCCATCAGGCATTCTGTAGTGCAGAGCACCCATTGGGATCTGGGTAGTTGCTGTTGATTGACTAAAAAGGGAAAGTCATTTAATCTCCTTATCTCAGAATCTTCATTTATAATAATAAAAATGATGATAGTGGCTCATGTGTACGATGCTTGAAGCTTTGCTAAGAACTTTCTTCACAACAGCCCTATAAAATGAAAGAATTGGATGAAACCTCCATCCAATCATGTTGTTTTTGTGCTTCAGCTCTGTAACCAATCATTTTGTACTCAATCTCATGATGTCATCTCCCCTATTCTGTTCTTTGTTCTCTACTCCCCAAAATCTATAACAAGGGAGCTGTCCATATGCTTAGGGTCTTTGGCATAAATGGAGGCAAGCCGTTTGCCTCGTTATCTACCATGGCAAACCCCATTCCTCCCCTAGCTTCTCAAAGGAGGGCAGTTTCTCCCAGTTGGTTGGCTCAAACTTTACCAAGACTCATGGAAAACTATAAAATCAATCTTGCCAATCTGATGGTCTCACTGACAAAGAGATAGCTGGCAGGACTTTGGCAACCATGAGCTTCTTTTCTTGGCCTCTTCCTGGGAATCTAAAGAGGGAGGGAAGAGAGTCCATCACAACACCAATTTGGGAAGAAGGAGAAGATTTGGCAGGGAAGATCCTCTTTTGACAAGACCAGGTCTGGGACTGTTAAGAATGGTCACTGGTCTCAAATTTTATTTGAAGTATTCCCAAAGGGGAACTGGAACCAGTGGTTTCACTGATATAGGGAGTTTTCATTATACAGGTTGACGCCTCTGTTTTTGTTGTTCAGTCATGTCCAATTCTCCGTGACCTTATGGACTACAGCCCTCCAGGCCCTTTACAGTGGGGATAATGACAACACCTACTTCCCAGGGCTAATGTGAGGATCAAATGAGATAATAATTGCAAAGTGCTTAGGGCTATTGGAGCAGAAACTCCTGTTATTCAAGTGAGTACCACTTTTTCCTCAAATTCCCATCCAGTCCATTGCCCCACCATACTATAAAGGCGGAAAATTTCTTAAGGCTCACATTCAAGGTCTCTCCAAAGGGTAGAATAGAATCAGGTATGGAACAGGTATTTACTTCTTACACATAAAAGAAATGCCAAACACAAAACTCTCACAACAGCACAATAGTAGAAAGACTTAATCAAGATTCAACAATTTCACTTATAGCTATTTCATATTTTCCTATGAGGTTGATATTTAAATCTTATAAGAACATAAAGAAATTTGTGGGACCACTGAATAGGTATTGTTAGATTTCACCTCAGCTCTACACTGTCCCCTCAAAATCCATGTCTACTGACCAGCTGAAATAGTGCTTGTCCTGCTCCCCTTATAAGTGGCTTTCCTCAGATATGTATTAGCTATGTGACCCTGGCCAAGTCATTTAACTTCTGTTTGCCTCAGTTTCCCCAACTGTAAAATGAAGACAATAACAATACCTCTCTCTCAGGGTTGTTGTGAGGATTGAATGAAATATTTGTAAGGTGCTTAATGCAATGCGTGGTGCATAATAGGTACCCCTTCTCCTGGCCATTTTATCCAGCGCAGTCAGCTGGTTTGATCAGATGGACCCAGGACCTCTGAACCTCTTGAATTCACAAGTTTGCTAACAAATCTGGGCACGTCCATCTTGAGAAGAGAAGGGGTCAGAAAGGGTTTGAGGGTGGATCACTCACTTTAAAGATCCACTGAGTCATCAGTTTGCTCTGCTCAGTGGCTGCCCACAATGAGGAGATCACTTCCTCATTTTTCAGGTCTGATTCTCACGTGGCCGGAAGCAGCTCTGTCATCCTAATGCTTAAGTGCTGAGCTAGCACAGATGGTTGGCTAGAATCAGGAAGAACCACTTCGTACA